GTCAAGTATACCCACAAGAAACATGAGGACCATCAAAATTGTGAGGCCAACGCTGAACAGCGTTCTTCTCCCGAACTTTTGCATCAAGTACCATGACAGAAGTACACTGACCCAACCAATAGCCATGAACCCAATACCCATATTGAACGCTTGCGCGGTCTCAAGACCAGCGAGGGTGAAGAAATACGTTCCGTAGTTGATGAGATACACACCACATAGGACCTGGGTAGAATACACCCCGATCGCAATCTCCGTTCGGCGCCAATTGACCTTCTTGAACACGTCGGCATAGGTACTACCCGCTTCCATATCTGTCTCCAGTCTGTCCGTTTCCATGATTTGTGCGAGCACAGCCTTGACGTTGACCTTGTCGCTAGTGAGCCGTCGAAGAGAGTTCTCGGCGTCCTCGAGGCGATTCTGACGCACCAGCCACCATGGACTTTCCGGAGCAAAGAACATTCCTGGGAGAATCACTAAAACCCAGAACCATTGCGTTGCGAACGGAATTGAATACGCCCAGTGGGACTGAAGATGCTGGGTCGCAGCGGCTACGCCGTTTCCAAGCAATTGGCCGGTGACAAAACATAGATTGACGTAAGAGGTCGAGACACTTCGCATGGCCAAGGGTGATACTTCAGATGCGTAGACAGGTGCGATAACAACAAAAGTGCCCAGCACTAGTCCAGCAAGAAGCTCTCCAGCGAGAAGAACTTGAAGTGAGCGTGCGAAGAACTGGATGAATACCAGGCCCGCGACAGCGATAACGCATGCATTGAATGTTCTTTTCCGCCCGTACCATTCCAACGGATAACCTGCGGCCAATGCACCGACGACTTGGCCGATTGGGTTGCCCATTCCGAGTCCCGTCTGCCATGCGGCGGAGATGATGTACCCGTCCCCGAAAGCATAGCCGAAATCTTTTTGAAAAGCAGGTACTGCGTACAAGTTGCCGAGAAGCTGAGGATCAAATGCTACTCGATTGTAAGAAACATTTCAGACGTTGGCGACTTCATCGTACATAGCATGATCACACCCAGGCTGAAGTAGAACGACCATCCAATTGCCTTGGGATAGAGAGACAGGGCCTCCCGAAAGGTGAGCGCATGCTCGAGTTCGACGATTTCGCGGACTTCTTCTGCGTTGATCGAAAGCTTCGGTGCCATACTAGCGCTCGGTTCGTCGAGGCTTCTCGTGGCGGTGGCCATGTTCGGCATTTAAGGTGTTTGCACCGAGTTCAACCAACAACGTGAAAGCAGAAGATGCAGAAGCTTGTGAAGCCAAGCGCTTTACTGAGCTTATATCAACATTCCTAGCGGCCCATGCAATGATACGCTGTTATCAGTTACTCGGGGTTCTGCTGCCGAATGCGGGGTTGTGAACGGAAAGTAGTCCGCTTTCGGCTAGAGCTACGACGCTATCCTTCGCTGCACATCCTCTTTGCGGTTTGGACGTGAGCCAAAGTTACATTTGTTGGATATAACGAACGCGCAACGCGATAAGTACATTTGTTGGAATGATAGCCAGGATAAGCTGCGATGGGGAGGTGGCCTGGACAGACGTCAAACAACAGCCGTTCTCTCGGGCGTCCTATAATCGCCCTCTTCCTAGGATATTATGCGCCATGGTATCAGGCCCTGATTCTTCCTAGTCGGGTAATCGTGCACCCTGACCCGAAGACGCGTGCATGCAGCGAGAATCAGGTGCTGATTCTCTCCCCTTACAGTCTAGTGTGGTGCCACCCTTTGATCTACGTGGTTTGGGACTAGCGTCGATCCCTAACTAATCGCATTCATCCATAGTACCTTTTTATGCTAACGGCGAAGCTATTGATGGATCGGAAAATATCCGGGCGCATTATAGCACGGACTGCGCGGCAAGCTGCGCCTGGACGAATAGCCTATGCAGGAGGCGGAAGCGTACGTTGGTTATTGCACTAATCAGCAATGTAGCACACCTACTGCGCTATGCACTGCTGTTTGTGGTTGAGTCACTGTGCTACATTGCTAATCAGTGCAATAACCGATATACACTTCCGCCTCCCACATGAGATACGTTTCGATTCTACATCAACCGGCCGACATTGATAGGTCTGGAAACCAGAAATTTCCCGTATTTTGGGCCAATAATATCCCTACATAGCTGCTATCCGGCACTATTGGTTTGGACGCCGGCAATGGCATCTTTGCTTCGGGAGCCGGTGATTGGCTCGCTTCGTTCCAATCGAGGAAAATACGCGCTTGGAGGCCCTTGACGACATGGTAGTCTTAACGGGTTTTGGAAGTTGGAACAAGTCCTCATTTAGTTTGTAGGCATTTGGGCCTCGATAATCACAATGCTCTTTCGGCTTTAGTACCTTCAGCAAACTTATTCATTCTGGGGGAGTTAGGAGCTTGGCTCACCGATCTTGGTAAGGCGTGGTGGGGTTGCGCGGAATAGCCAAGGTGCTAGGAGAGAGGGTTGTTATTAATACAAGGTACATATATGGTAAGTACGTAGAAGCATATAATAGAGACGTTATGTTGATTGGAACTTTGTTATTCGAGGGATAATCGTGCTGGGTTAATATCGTTAAGTGACGGCTATGTGGCGACACTATGTTGGGGGCATAATGGCGATAGACTATAGAGACACTTTCGTGGGAAACAGTAGTGCCTAAAATGGGAGCGTTTCTGGCGCAATAGGCTAACAAGACGGCGGCTATGGTTACTAACAGTCTTGCCTTCTTTGGACTTATCCTAGGTGAGCCAGCGTGCTGCTTCCGCGTTGATTTCTGCCGTCATCTTACAGAGGAAGACGATATAACTCACAGATTTTAAGAGAATTATAGCGTTAAAGCATGAGATACCTAAGTACATAAGACTTAAGAATGTTAACACTAACACCACAACCTCTCTATCTGTGGAGTGTAAGTCGAAACATCAGTTGGGAGGTTAGCGCTTAGGCGGCTTAGGGTATTCGCAGCTCGCTTGTTATATACGTTACCCCTCCTTGAACGCCTCTACGGCAGACCATTAGCATTACAGCTTTAGTGCCGCTGCAGCACGATATCGAATCGGATTTTGCTCTGGCTACTGAAGGTTTTTCCCCGGAACCAAATTGCGCTATACTGGTGTTTCATTGTAATGAAAACTCCTCTTGTTGAACTATGGTTATTAAAATTTTGAAGACAAATAATGTAGAAAGCTTGCAATATCAACAGCGATAGCAAGCAGGTAAACATTAAACTTATAGAGACTGACAAATCTGATCGAATCGGATAAAACTAGTTGTCGGAACAAGTGGACACTCTTCCGGCCCAACTAGCGATATCCCTAGAAAGTGTAGCAGCTTCCCTAGGTCGAGGCTAAACCAACAACGATGGCGTTATTTAATTTTGGGGTTGAACGGCATCTCGCCGCTCCGCTCTATGTTGCTTCGAATCTTCGCCTGGGACTTCCTTCTCTTTGTCCACCACTAAGATCGCAGCTCCAATGTCTAACGTTGTACGATCCGTTTCTCGGCAACTAGTACTTTCCACGGACATGCGTAGTTAGTGGCTCCCACTGTACTACGATAAAATGTCTGAGATCTGGCGGATCTATCCCGTCCCGTCTTCGTTTAGGGTGCGGGGATTTTGGGAAAGGGCGCACTGCATTGTGGTTTGAGACATGGGGATGTGGTTTCTTGGGGATTATGAACTCTACGATCTATCTAAATTAGCTTGACTATACGTTAGATTGGTGGCCTGATACGGTAAATCGGTTTCGTTGTTTGGATAATTGATTCCAGAGGACTGACTTGAAGTAAACGCTGACCTAGATAGATTGCGACTAGACTGTGCGATATTGCATCTTGCCCTATGAGAAAGAAGCAGTCAAAGGTGAATCCATAGTGTTTGCTATCCAATCTGTCGTTTTTCAAGCTCACTCAACAGGTTCGCCAAAACTATAAGAGCCTCTTACGGGTATCTATACCAACAAATATTTCGTAGAACACCACAATCCATTTCCCTCCATCCCTTTGCTCAACAATCACAGGCATTCACAGGATTCGTGTAACCGGATTCAAAATGAAGAACCTCTCGGCCCTTGCCCTCATGGCCCTCCTGCCTTCGGCTACCGTTGCGCACTACTTTTTCCCACATTTTGTCATCAACGGCAACGTGACGCCCGAGTGGCAGTATGCGCGCAAGCATGACAACTTCCTAAACCCCTCGTGGGAGGACGGCGCCTTCCTCAAGAGCAATGATCTTCGTTGCAACAAGGGGGCTTCGAACCATATGCGCGAGCCCCAGACTGCCAAGATCACCGCTGGACAAGATACCGTCGGCTTCCAAACCTACGCCGGCACCGACGGTCTTTACCATCCTGGACCTGTTCAGGTACTAGCAACCCTCTCCACAGTTCAACGAAAGAATTGTGACTTCCTTAGATCTGGGTTGAAATCTCGAAATATGGAAGCTAATCATCTACGCGTTAACAGATCTACATGTCCAAGGCCCCCAGCGACGTCCGCGACTACGACGGATCCGGCGACTGGTTCAAGGTTGCCCAGTGGGGTCACCGGGCTGGATCGACCGCCGATAGCAACTGGATTACCTGGAAGATGAAGCAGTTCACCTTCAAGATGCCCGCCGAGATCCCCGCCGGCCAGTACCTCATCCGTATCGAGCAGGCGGCCACGCACCAGCCGTACACACACCGCGAGTTCTACGTTGGGTGTGCGCATATCGAGGTCGCCAGCAGCTATAACGGAAAGCCCACGCCCACGTTCAAGATCCCCGGCGTCTACGACCGCGACCAGCCCTTCTTTAAGTACGACAGCTGGGGCAAACCCCAGGCGAAAGTGTGCCCGCTTCCCGGCCCAGCTATGTGGCCCAACAACAATAACTTAAAAAACCTTACCTAAGTTAGATAAAGAGAGGGTGGGACGACCTACCGGGTAGCTTATTGTAGGGCTGTGGGCGATCTCTTATTTCTAAGAACTATCTTCTTTGTAGTAGTTTCTTACGAACTCTGTGCTTAGTTTAGAAATAAAGGCTCTATAGTTGTACTCCTGAGGTCCACATTGGCGCCAGACTCTAGACTGGACTCCCTAGCAAACTTCTCGTCGTTGTACAACACGGCGATCTCGTTGTGAAACATGGCGACCGTTTGGAGCCGGATGACCGAGCCCTTGGGCGTGCGCTCGAACGACTTTTCCCTCTCCGTGACAGCAATCTTATTCTGGTAGATGCGTGCATGGGCAGGTGCTTCCCTGTTGGCTTGTTCTACTGTCGGCCATATATGTTCCACCAACGTAGCCGAGTCTATCATGCCAGCCCCGTCTCGCTCCGGCTCGATGAGCAGTCCAGTCTGGAATTTGCCTTGGCCGACGACAATTGCGCCCTTTACGCAAGCATGGGATTCGATGCACTTCTCCATCGACACAGGATTGACCTTTTCGCCATTACTGAGCACAATGGTGTTGTCTCGTCTACCGCTGTACTTCCATAATGATGGCTTAGTGGGATGCTGTCGGAAAAGATCTTTGGTCAGCCATTTCTCTTCTTCGGGAAGGGTGTGGAAGACAGCTTGATATCTGGTATCCCTCCGTTCGAGAACGAGCTCGTACAGCTCATTCTCTGCCGACTCCATGACCGCACCGGCGGCATCGCTCCAGTGAAAATAGCCCCATTCGTCTGGTGCTGTTGTGTCGAGACTGGGTATGAGTAAAGCTTCGGTACTGCCAATGATGGTTTGAAGCTTTGTTACTCGACAAAGCTTCTCACCGCTTGCGTTAGCCAGAGGCGCACCGCCGAAGAAGACCGTATCTAGTGTGCTGAGTGCTTGGAAACCTGCATCTGTGCCAGACAGGTCTTCAAGGATCGATGGAGGAAAGACACCTGTAGCTGGTTTAATGGCTGCAATTGCACCGATGACTAGACCGGCGTTCCACAGCCTTCCTGATGGGAGGGTGGCGATCGAACTCCTACACATCAGCGATCGCAGCCCTACCACGATGCCCATTGCGTGGAAGAAGGGCACGGCAGCGAGCATCGGCCTTTTGTCTGCAAGAAAAAGCTTCATGGTGCTCTGACGGCCTTGCTCTCGACCCAGGTTTGCTTGCTCGTATACGGAGTTCAGGCCACCTACGGTCAGACGAACGGCCTTGGGAAGGCCTACCATGTTCATTAACGACTTGTGGAATGCAATTCATTGAGGGATACCACTCACCAGTCGAACCAGAAGTGTGGAGAATCAGGCTGTTGGCTGCCCTGTCGCGGCGGTGTCGTCCATCATAGTGGGGCGGTGCATGGCTCGGGTAGAGCAGATCTAGCAAGGGTGGCACTTCAATAATGTGCGTGTTGGGAGCAACCTTTTGAATGTCTCCAAAACACCGGTGTCTGTCCGGCGTGCTCAAAAAAAGTGTACACTCTGTCTCCTTGAGAATCGATTCCTGGCCTTCGGGGGAGTTTCGCGGCGATACGAACAGTGGCACATACCCCACCTTCAGTGCTGCGGCTAGTACGACAAGATACTGCTGGTCATTCGGACCATTATGGTGTCAGCGATGCATAGAACGCGAAGAAGCACACACTCACCCGATGTAGCCGATGGTTTGGCCCATGGGGTCAGAAACTCCCAGCGTTTCTTCTAGAGACCAGGCTAGAGAATCCACGACCTGTGCCAGTTGCGCATACGTGATATCACGCCAGCCTTGGTCTACGCTGCTGCTTGACCGTGGTACCCATGCCCAGACCGCGTTGGGTTCTTCTTCTGCTGCCCGATCGATATGGTCTGGCACAGCCAGCGGTGGTGGAGCTGTTAGAACCATTGCCGAATGCTTGGTATTGTAGTGATCCGCTTTGGCCGAATGTGACATTCGTTCGAACAGGTTGTGGCAAGCCGTGAGACCGTGTTTCCGATAGGACACTTCACAGCTATCTAATCTTCCCGTATCCCAAGCTACAAAATGTTTTACTGATTTCACTAAAGACACAGCTTTGGTCAGTGTCAATTTTGGCTTGTAAGCAGCTTGTAGGCAGCTTACCTGACTAAGTCAATGATCTTGTGAAGCGACGAAAAATTGCTGTAGACAAAGCATAAGCGCAAAGATAAAGCATCGCTAACACCATCACCAAGAAGTCATCTCCAAACAGCAATGTGCTGGAGAGGTACTGGAATGCCGGGCCATGCACGTTTTTGAGTGAACAACCTGTAGTCGTCCACCTGGAATTCTTCCATGGATGACGTCAAGTGTTGTAGGCGTCTGACGAAGTCCATGGGCTCCCAGGCTCTGTCGTGCACGCACTCGTTGTGCGATGCCCTTCGGCTAGGGGAGTGTGGCGCTGTCAAAACCACCTCACACTGCCCGAGGCGGTCGAGAGCTGTCTAGGCTACACCACAGAAAAGATCAAAAGGCTGATCAGCAACGGGTACTCAGAGGGTCACGGCGATCTGTTCATCCCGACAACGTAGGTACAAGATATGCTGGCCGTCGCGTAAAGCGTGTGCTCTTAGTTTTGCTCTGACTAGTTACACGTCTTAAGCAGACTGCGCTAAAGCTGTACTCGGCAGAAGGAGAGAGTGTTGACGTTCAGTGCACTGCAGTAACGTAAAAAGGGGCACAGAAACGGGTTGCGCAGACGGGTATGATGGCGGAGCTGATCTCCCCAGTTTGTCGACTGGTTCATACAGCGTTGCATTTCTCTTGATCTCGTCACTCTTGGGTACGTTCTCATGCATTTGGAGTTTCCCATTCCTGCAAGCAATCAATCTTTGGTCCCACACTAAGCCTCTCTCGCCTCATGATAGTCTTGAACGAACAGCGCTAATTGTTGCCAGCAGTACCTTATATAGGAAGACAATAGTGTCTCCTAACCAATTGATGTGAGGCGCTTACAGAACCTGAGATATCTTGGATAACCGCTAATCAGCTGAGACGATAGATCGTGTGGGATGAGAGCCAGGCAGGATGCAAAGAGCAGAAACTGCAGGTGCATTAGAGTGTATTCATCCCGGCTGGACTCGCATCACTCCGTAGTAGGGGCTGCACACGACCTTGTGCCCGCAGCTCGACGGTGGTAATGCAACATTCTTGTCCACCAGGCGGGCTGGACTGGGTCTGTAGAAATTAATCTTGGACCCGCGCTTGGTAGGCTTGAAGACACTATCGATAGTGGGGGCTTCCTTTTTGAGCGCGTTGTTCTTCCTTGCTCTGGTCGCCTTCTTTGACTGTCCCTTGGGCTTTCTCGCGGGTGCTTTGGTTGCGACCTTGCTAAGCAAGTGCGGCTGTGTATCGGCCTTCCTCTTTGTACCATTCTCCGAGGGCGTATCTAGCCTTTCCTTGTCGAATGATAGTGGAGGTACGCATGGGCGTTGACTGAGTGTAAGTTGGCCTGCATTGCGGAGCACGCCAGGTTTTCGAGGACTGCCAATGATAAATTCTGCTCTTTGCTTTCCCCTGACATTGTTTAGGTCGTCCCATCGCCGCATGTTGGCGTGACGTGCGACTTGATCACAAGGTCCCTTCACCACTAAATCCCATATGTCCTCGAGATCTTTGCCCACCGGCTCAGGGTTATTATTCAACTATACCGTGACTCCGTCCTTTTGGTTACGAACGATGTTGCACATCTCGCGAGCTATGCGTCGCACACTAGGTACCTTTAACGTGGTGCTAGCCATAATAATGGCGTCTAGTCTTATGCGCATATTGTAGGCTGCGCAAGAATCGATTGACTTGTTATTAGGATTCTGTTTGTTGTAGAGGACTATGCGAGGACGCAGCTGACTAATGCCGTGGCTTCGCTTGCGTGCCGACTGACGGATCTCATCAATCTCCCCACATCTCGGGCAGGGAGGTGGGCTAGGTCTATTGAACTTCTCAGCATCGAAGTCTGATACAGCGTAGCATTTAGAGCACGCTATGTAATCTAGACCACCGTGCACCTAAACAGTCTTAGGCCAAGGTCCTTTCTTAGGTAGGGGAACCTGTGTACTTAGGGGGGGCAGGGAAGTGTCAATGCCGTCAACGTTCTGAGTATAGAGTCGCATCAGGCGCCCTTCCTAGGCTAGGGTCGCGAGAAGATAGTAAAATGCAGTGGGCTCCGCAGCTTTGGCGTGCTGAGAAAGTGTACGCACTATGTTCTGGAATGTCGATGTAGACGTGTTATCCTAATACACAGATGCGTCGAAGAGGTCTTTGCCTAAGAACTTAAGCTTGTGCTGCTTCTTGAGTTTGTTAAACAGGCCCGTAGCAGATTGAAAATTGGGAATCCTAGCAGAAACCGAGATGCCTGCACCTGCTATAACTATAATCTTTTACTTCTTGTATAGAACGCTTAGCAAGCGCTGCAACTATAGTAGCTTGTCTTCTTCTACATTAGACCTTGAGAGGTCTAGGCACTCTTTCTTACGCCCCTCGGGCTCTGCCATCTTCCTCCTCTTTGCTGGGCGCGAGTTATCGCCGTTACTAGAGGGTGGAGAGCGCATGTCTTCTGAGACAGGTAAAGTATTCGCAGATGAACTCCGTGCAATGGGTTGATGGTGCATGCTTCGTTCGTCTACAGGTCTTACAGATAAACGTATATAGCCGGCCGTTCAACGAGATTGTCCAACAAGAGAGGTCACCTAGGGGGGTATCGAGACAGTCTAGAGTTTGGGTGTAATCACGAAGAGAATGAGAAGAACGACCAATTTCGACCAGAAGATGAGCCCACGAGAGGTGCTTATGGTAAGAACAGATCTTCGAGATGGCATGGGATGGAAGTGGGTTGGAAAGAAGATGGAGTACCTGGGGCATTGGCCGGTACTTATACGTTGCCTGGCCGCCGAGACACTGGTCCTAATCTGGCGTCCAGTTCATGCGGTAGATTTGCAGATCTGATGGCTGACATCTAATGGGACTCTATTATGATCGAGGTACGAGCCTTGTCTGCAGCATCTAATGATACGCTTTCACAAGAATAGATACGACCATATGAAACCATAAAGAAGATTCATTACTTTACAGACGAGGTGCTTCTGCATAGCAGCACCTCCGCATGTTGAGGGGTGAGTTCAAGGCTACACAAAGTCGCAGAAGTCCTTGATGAATCCAGATTCACTGTCACTATACCTGCCGAGATCACTTTTGCCTGCAAAAGTAGGCGAGGACTCGATTGTGATCGTCACTCTCAACAACCCTCCCACCATGCACGACGGGGGCTGATGCTCCCCTGGTGACATCCCTTCCCTGAAGCCATGCAGTTTACCTCACAGCCCTGCAAAATGCATGGTCTTGGGCCTTCCACGATGTGAGCTGGAAAGTCCCCCATCCCGCAACACACCGCTCCTTTGACATCCAACGGTCCCTGTGTCATCCAAGATCACTCGATGACAGCGGAGTTGGTATACTAAATCAGACAGTCTATTTGAAGGACCTCGACCGCAGCTACTACTCTAATGAAAGATGCTCAAAGATACGTGCAGCAACGTGTCTGGGAACCTGTACGTGCCTGCCTCGTACCGCTTAGCAGCGTCATGTTTCGAAACGTGACCAGATGGATAAAAACTGTGCTGAAAGCCATACAGATAGTGCGTTGGACCAGAGCTTCGCTCGTGCTGCGGCTGCGGCTGTGGCTCTTAGGGGCCCGAGGGAGGCCGCTGACACGACAGTGAATTCATCTAGCTCTACTGCCTCAAAACTACTGGAATTCCACGGGCTGTGCTTCACCTTAGCTGCCCATCTGCCTGTTTTCCTTTGCACCGCTAACCTCATCCTGACTTCCGCCTGTTCCAACGTCCGCAGACAAGGCTGTTCAATCAACCACCCCCGCAAGTCAGCCTCGTCACCCGCCGCAGTCGCCCCAAAAACTAATCGTGCTTTGCATGCTGTTGAAGCAGACAACGCTCGCATGCTATCACCATCGTCTACGCGATTCGTAAATAGACGCCTGTCCCATCGCAGGCTATTTAAGTTGTTGTTTGCGATCGGCAGTGCTCTTCGACAACGCCCTGAGGCTGAACAAGAGCCGTCGCACTGGCACCCTCAGGTATGTTCTCATTGTGTCGAGCCGCTCCAGCGTTGGGGCTTTACTTTGTATCCTATGTCCACCTGTATTTCGCAACTCACGATGTTGTTCGCTGTATTCTAATTCTAGTAATCAACAACCAGTCGTTTCCCCATATTTATCTCTGCTCTACCCCATTCGCTCGATGCGAGCGTCTCTCGCCTGGCACGCTTCCCGACGGCATCTGGCTTCTCCCAACTCTGTCCATCGTATCAATGCCGTCCCACTCGCAGCTCCCGACCTTCTCCTTCCATCATAGCAAGAATAAAGCAGCCTATGGTTATGCTGACCCTTCTCCAGATAGCGGTCCAAGCCTGGTCTTATTGTGCCACTCACTCTCTACACTGTCTCCTAGGCCTTTCTCTGGGAGCATTCGCTGAAAGATCGCTGGGATCGTTCTCCGTTCATTCCATCATTTCGATAATTGTTTGCCCAACCCGTGGCACCCGCTGCTCAAACGATTGACGCCATTCAATCCGTGGAATGCTACCAGGATGACGAATTTCTCACAAAATCACCCCTCTTGGAAACCCTAAACCACCACCCTGAATAGAAGAACCGTCCGCCACTCACGCAACCAACAGAGCGTCAGTCCATCCCAATCTCGAAACCAGAAAAAATCTAATCAACACAAGATCCGAACTCGGCCTACGCAAGGGGATTGGGTCCTCGTTCGTGAGATAGGCCCAATTGGCCAGACATTGCCTAGAAAGCAAGCAAGTAGGTCCTAAATTCTGACTCTGGCTCAGATCTTGGACCTGGTTCAGAAGACTATGAGATGCCACATGCTGACTCTCCCAGCACGGCAACTGCCCTGTCCGTCTCTAACAATGGTTAGTTGGTGCTGCTAATTACTTGGCCTGCAACCTAGCAACCGACCTTACTAGAAGTGCTTTGCTTAGCACCCAATCCAAAAGTAACAGCTACGCACAGAGACTTAGTGATTGAAGACAAAGTCACTAGACCTTTTGGCCTTACAGCAGACAGGCGCACGTCTTAAGCATTAGCAACCTACATAGCACTGAATGGTCTGCGACCCACAACAAATGGATCAAGTAGAACGCCATCTACCTCAACCGCATTGTCCAACGTGTCATTGCAGCCACCAAACCAATTGACACAGGGTTTGTTAAACAATCTTTCTCAAGGACATGAATTAGTAACATCTCCCCATCTACGACAACTTACGATCCCGCAGCCAAGGGGGCTTTTAGCGGATACCCTAGCAGCATTACAAGCCCCATCTCTTGCGCGTGATGCAGCAGCAGGCTTACCTAGTTAACGACTACCTCTATTTTGGCACATGGACGATATAGCGAGATTAGCGACAAGCGATTATAAAGCAAGCGGATCTAACAGCATTAGCGTTCCGCATCGAAAACCTGTATCGTTAGAAGGATAGTCACCCACATTAACGGTGCGTCAATTGTCCATCAATTTACATTCTCCGGCAACGCCACTTCCTCCAATAAGTGTCTCTGCGCCCATGAGTACCCACGAATTACCGCATAGAGGGGACTTGTTCTTACGTAGCTCCGGAGGTACATTTGGTACAGATGCTCGGAGACCTTCGCATGCAGCATCAGACAGCAGTCCTCACATAGCCCAACTGCACTCTGCATCGACACCTCATGTTGTTAGACGTTTTGAGTGCGACTATCCAGACGCAGTATCTCCTCAAGTGAGTGATAAAGATAAGGACGACCCCCAACTCCGAGCCGTCCTTCCTCAGCGACCTGAAGTTGGCAGTTGGGGGCGAAGAAAACGTGTAAGCCACTCTCGCCATTGAAGTATTATCTTTGGCTCTCTCATCCCGCGGGGGATGTTTCAGTGGGGATATCGCAATACTGATTTCATGTTTGCCTGTCTCTGGTTGCGCTCTCATCTCGACCACACTACCCATGTGGAGTAAGCTTTAGCTCAGCATTCTCTTCTTTACGTTGCTTTTTGCTGAAGTTCTCTTCACGACGAGTAGGCTTTCTCGTGTGCGTGCACTGCTTGTGAAGTACATCAATTTGTGATACAGGCAAGTGAAAGTTCACATACAACAAACCGTCGACTCGCGATACCCGAAAGCATCCGCTGTCCTACTCGTTTTCACGATTCAAGATGGCGAAACCATGGAACTTTTCAAACAGAAGATCACGGAATAAATGGACGACGATATCGGGGTGTGAGACGTTGATGCGGGGGTAGCTGTGACCGTCCTATTTCTAGTTTGACTGCCTTTCCGGCCTCTGTGTGGTCGCCGCAACCATGCCTGGTTGTTCACGATATCTCAACGCTGGGAAACATGAATGTATCAAGTGGTTCAGAGAACCGTGAGACCTACAATTTACGTCAAGTCGTCAGCGCAGCTTGTTGTCAAAAACTATCGCCAGACTGAACTGACCTCGGGAGATGAGATTGCTGGTAATATCGTCACACGAAAGTTAGTATGCAGAACGCTGGACAGTAATGTGTAGACGCAGAAACTAGTATTGCTATAGAAGTAGTAACGTGTTCTTCTCTATTCCTCGCCGTTCATGACCTGTGTTGTAGCCAGCCACAACGTGTCACGCTCCGCTGTCAGGGTAGTGTTCACGCACGCAGTTGAGAAATCGTGCCAACCGTCCATCTCTCCGTAGCTAGCCCAGCTCGAACAGAGGCGGTGCACTGCATGCTGAGCAACCAAGCCGCCATCCCAAAACTCTTCTCGTCGTTGCAGTTGGCCAGCCGTAGCACCGCGTCCAGGCCTGCATCCCCTCTGGCGGCTTCAGCCTCCGCGACAGCATCGGCGCTAGCGACGCTTTCCGCGTAGAGCTTGACAACAGGGGGCATCCGCATCATCCTCGTGCCCTGACCCGGCCTGCCTGGAAAGTGGTTTTTGTTGTACTTGAAGTTGCCTGATTCGAAAAGGATGTAGGCTACTAAGCCGGCCCTTTCGCCGAGTGAGGAGATCCCATGTTTCGAAAGCCGTGTTGGTGTAACAACTCGTATCTGTTGATGCAGCCTTCTATTGCAGCAAGCAGTCTAGTCTGGAGCTTGTTTTGTAAATAGCCTTCCTGTAGTCGCGGACAACGACACAGCAGTAGATCCAATTTGCAATTGCAGGTTTTATTAGAGAGTTTAAGTAAGTGCGCTTACTAGGTAGCAATAGCAGTCCTATATAGCTTAAGGATTGCTTTTATCTACTAGTACTATTACTACTTCTATCTCTCTGCGAGGCTCGTTGTCTAGTTATGCTTAGTAGTAGTATTAACTTTTCTAGTTTATAGTTTATAGCCTTTCTTATGTCTAGGCCTTTTTGTACGTTTACGTAGATATTATTATCTTAACTACCTATAATAACTATCTTATAGTAGAAGTACCTTATAATAATTATTTTCCTCTTCTTAGTTGCCGCGCGTAGTAGTTTACTCTCTTTTTTGCGCTCTAAATACTACTATAAATTCTTAGTAATAAGTAGCGTGCTAAGGTTTTCTTTTTAGTAAACTTTCTAGTAGGTTATTACCTAACTAGTAATATAAGGCACCTACTTTATAACTTTATTAATAATAAGACGCTCTTTTCTATTATTCTACTTAATCTTAACGTACTACTTATCTCTAACTATAATAATTATTAGGTTAAACCCTAGCTACTTCTTATTTATCTAGAGAGACTAATATATTATAGATACAAACTATAGTCTATCTTTATTAATATTAAGTTACTTAAAGGCAATACTTTTAAGTCTATTACGGTAGAGTGTTAATAGTAGAGCAGAGCAACAAAACGCAGTTAGATAACTTAATATATTGTTCTTAATGTAAGTGTATTTCCTAAACACCTTGTACTTACTATATATAGCTATAGAAATTAATAAAACTCTATCTAGAACGTTTACTATAGATCTAGTGCATTAATAATATAATTATAGATAGTAATAGTAATAGAGCTTCTTGTAGACTTAGAGGTAGACTTAGGCGTTAATTTAGAGGTGTATATAGTTAAGCTATAAGGCTGTATTCTATCTCTAAAGATATTAACGTAGAAATAAGCTTTTAGAAGTAGGTGCTAATAGTAATAAAAGGTAAGCTCTTATTAGTAGAAGAGTTAGAAGTTAGAACGTAGTATAATATTAAATAGAAGCCTTTATATTAGCCTTAGAAGTAGGTAGATTAAAGATAGCTTTAAACTGTAGTACTACTGCGTAGATAAACTCTAGGTTTAAGACAATATTATACTATAGTGTAAGTCTAGAGATATTTCGCGTAGTTAAAACGTAGTTTAGAGAATAGCTGCCTTGCGCAGCATTTATATAAAATGTCTACTTACTTAGAGAATACTTCTCTTTATTCTATATCTTTCTTAATACCTCTATACACTTTAAAATATCTATAAATATCTACTAATATGTTTATTAACTACTAAGAATATATAGTATAGATTAACTTCTCTTCTATACTTAGAATAGAGGCTTCTATTCTTAAGAATACCTAGGCTATTAGTATAATAGAACGTGCAACTACAGTAGAACTTACTACTTATAGAAGTAGCTTATTTAACTTTCTAGTTCTTACTAGAGACTCTAAAATAGTAGACCTAAAGACCTTAGCTATAAGAATAGAGCTAGTAAAGAGCTTCTAATACAATAGTATTAGAATTATAGTAGTAATTAACCTAGACTAAAAACGCCTTATAGGCTTGTGTGTTATAGCTGTATAGTATCTAGTCTATATAGACTTTTTTTCTTCTACTACGCAGATAATTGTAGAAGAATAGTTTAGTTAACTTTTAATACTAGATAAAAAACTAGCTAGTTTAGTAGTTACACTAGTAACCTAAGAGAAGCTTAAGTTTATTAAGGTTACACGCAACAACATTTCTATTAGCTAGAAGTAGGCAGCGCTTCGCTAGCTCTAGAAGGCGCTAGAATTATAGTTAGGCGGAGTAGATAGTTAGAATAACAGAGAATAGCACAATATAGCTAATATAGCTAGGCTTACTAAGTAATTGCGTATAGAATATAGGTCGCTAGTAATTATATAAGTATTGTATAGGTGTCTTAGGTTATCTTAAGAGCTTCGTGCTAGTATAGGTAGACTTACTAGGTTTTCTTTTAGTGTTGCTCGATCGCATAAGACTAATATTAGTGCTGCTAGTTAATAATCTAAAGAACTATTAGTAATATAGAATAAATATAGAGCGCGTTGTAATTGCGCGCGTAAAAACAGTTATCTTAGTAATTATAAAATGCAGCGTAAAGTTATAAGACGCAAATTAAGGCTTACATTAGAGATTTTTAAGTTTGCTATTAGATCTAATATAGTAACGCGTTATCGCGTAATTAAGTTATTACGTAATAATCACGTAATTCTAAAATAAGTATACTACAGGCCCCGTCTCTTAGGCCTAGAGAAGTTACTTTTAAGTCTATTAAACTTCTATAGCTATATAAAAAGTCTATAGAGAGTAAAGCTAAGAATAAAGTAGTAGCTATCTTAAGCAGCAAGCACCTCTCTTACATATTAGCTAAGGTTAAGCTACGCCTTAGATACTTTATTAGCTAGTAGGTTACTCTTAAGCTCTCTAGGTATAAGAATCTATATCTACGCTAGCGTTTAGATTGTCCGCAAAGCTAATATCTAGCTTGCGATTAGCGGTAGAGCCTTGCAGCGCCTAATAGAGCTGCGCTAGTAGTCGCCGCCGAATTCTAGACACTAGCTAATACTCTTCTACGAGGTCTAACAGCTTGTCTATAAGCATAGCGAACTAGCTTAGAACGTTCTTTTTCTTCGCTCTTTTCCTTCGCCTCTTTAGGCCAGCTCTCCTAGCCGCTCTCTGCCTAGAAGAGTAGGCTCTTTCCTTTCTTACACTTATTAAACACAGCTACTACCGCTAGTCTTAGACTTAGCACATCTCTAAAGAATACCTTAGCAAAGCTATTTATACTAACGTATAGGTGTTCTAGCTTCTCTTTTAGCATATTATATACATATTTATAGTACTCTATTAAGTTTGCAAAGCTACCTATATTAATAGATAGAGGTGTTTATTAGAAAGACAAGAAGAGGCAAAGTAGAGGCGTTAATTTAGCAATAGTATTATATACTCTATTCTAAATTTTGTAGTTAGGTTCCTTATAAAAGATTTCTTATAAGAAAGAAAGTATTTATTTAATATTAAAATTATTAGCGTTAACTATTGTTATAAATATCAACAGGCCCTTAAGCTGCAGCGGCAAGAATCTACTTAAGGGTAGATGACGAGAGGCTAGAAGGGTTTGAAGAGCGGATACGAGGGCGACTAGGAGATCCTAAGTCTGTGTGCACTCTAGAGGAGTACCTAGTAGGGCAAACTTACATTACCTTCATTTCCTATTTGACCCAGCACGTGAGAGGATTTGGGAATGCCTATATCCTCATATGCAGAACTGAAAAAGGCGCAAAAGCCATCTAATCCTCCGCCTATCGGTTTAGACTAGATGATCTGTGAACGCGACAGCGTAGGCATCCTTGACGATTCTCCTATAATTGCGGCGACGCTGCGCATATGATCGGCCACGACCTACGTGCTTCAATGAGGGCAGGAGAGGCCACCAAGAAAGACATGTAACATAAGAAGTGACGGTTATACAAGGGAGCAACGAACGCGCAACAGCGCGCGGGCCCAAGGAGGCTAGCCCGCCACCACGTCGGCACGGCACTCCCCGGAGCCTGCTTGGTCTGCGCGTTGCCAGCGCGTTTGACGCTTCTTCTCTAACCATCTGCTGCAATCTGGTAAGTCACAGGACCAACATACGCGCTGTGTAAGCTGCAATATGTATGATAGCGTGCTCGGCTGCAGCGATTGCGATCCACCGTGACTATTGTAATGAAGCCAGTGCTTCCTGTCAACGTCCATCGGTGTCCGACCGATACTGTTGATGTGGGTGGGCGGCAACTGATGCTGGCTTATGAACAGTAGGGGATGCCAGACATGTTGTCGCAGGCCAAGCGCTGCCGGGCTGAAGCTGTGCCTCGGCCAGCGTCTCCTCCACGCAAGTCCCCCCAAACGCTCAGCACGGACACGTAATAACTATTCTAAGTAGATAGAAAGTTTCGCACACATCTATACATCTATACCTCAAGAAATCTCGCGATAGTCGCTTTTGTGGGTGGCTCTACAGTCTCATCTTTTGGAGTCCTCATATTGTTGGGGTGGCTCAACCCAGGACCTGGCTCACCGTGTTGACAGTCAGCGATACGCGGAAAGTACTGCACAACCTTAGCACATGGGTCAAGGTAGCTTCCAAAGTTGCAGTCATGTAAAATTATTAATGTGCTGTTCAACGCGATCGATGGGTCGTCACTGTTTGCCTTGGGAGAATCGAGAGAACACACTGTATCAAGCACAGCATGAGGCGTACAACTCTATCCCAGAACGAACTCAGTAGCAACCTCCATTCACGAATAGCGATGCTAACCTAATGTGGGTATTGCGGAAGCTCATATTCGCAAACAGTCGAATGCAGCTTAGCGCGGCAGATGTGACTCGCAACACGTACGATACGGTCTAAGTGGGGGCCACCCAGTGCCCGCACCACACCATGCGCCTACAACTTGCCTGCGGCGTCGCGTTGGAAGTAGGCTGTCAGCTTTCCTATGGGCACACCAGCAGCAAACGCCCACCGATAACGTTCCATGAAAGCGACAATCTCTTTATCCATCTGCTGCATTGCCATCTGCTTGTGGTCCTCTAGCACCTGGCCGGTATAAGTGAGATGCACTTCTGACTGCAGCTCGACCTCGCCGACCTCATGCCCAAAGTCCATTGTGTCGAGCACAATCGTAAACTTCTCGTCCGCCAGCCACATTCTTCTTGTCGTGCACATGTTTGCAATACGATTGAGGCCGAAAAATTCGCGCTCGCTGCCTACTTGTCCCGTAATAATGTGTACTTGCTCCCCAATTTTGCGAGCATCGGACAGCTCCTCGAACCTCGAATTTTGGAAGTCGCCACCCTTTCTCACTTTAGCTTCCCATTGCCCATTGCGTAGCCTGATCCATACACCTGCCGCCGCGAGAAGTCCAGCCCGATCGAAATAAGTGTCCTTGAACATGCGCTGGCCCTGTGACTGGATGCTCCAGAATGGTGGGTTCCCGACGTGAAGGGTAAGATCGGTGACTGCAAGCCCGCAAAACTTGCGCTCCACCTCCAGTCGAAAGGTTTGAGATATGGCTTTCGGAAACATGGACAATGCTAGAAGCTACGATTGGAGGTTTTAGCAAGAAAGACGCAAAGCATGAGTGGAAATCAGGGTAGTGGTATCGTTTTTCGATAAAACTGGTTCTAACTGCACAAAAAGGAAACCCTTAGTGACGGTCACGTGATCGACAAACATGCCTGTTCTGTCCCTCACTTTATATTCTTCCATTACGTACTCAGCATATACCTTCTTTCATCCTGACGAGAAAATGTGCCAAATTGGTGTTACTCAGGCTGTTCACTAGGGCTCTGTACGAGATATCCGTCTCTCCGTTCGTGTCAACCTGACCGCCGTTTAGCATGGACAAGAACTTCACGATGAATCTTACCTCGATAAGAAGGTTTCGTTCCTGGTAAGTCTTCAAGATCCTGGAGTTCTCCGCAGCGAACTCATCGTATCTCCTCTGGAAGATGGCTGCATCATCCGCTTCTCTTCCGGGTAATTTTCGCGTGAGAAAGCGATTTTTGGCGACCTCTTCTCGACAGTTGAAGAACAGTACCAATGCTGGCGAGCCGATCTACCACAAATCAATACGCCAAGGGAAAGCATCAGCAGTCGGGCATACTAACTTTCTCTTCCACAGGCATAGCCTGATCCAACTGCCTTGGCAAACCATCTACCAGGATCAAGTGACGGCCGCTGCAAACATCATCCTTGATGGTATCTTGAAGAATGTTGATCAACACCTCTGTGGAAACGAGCTCGCCTCTTCGCACCCGAGATGCTGTAACTAGGTCCATCATCGAGTCGGAGACAAGTCTCCTCAATATATCTCCAATAGATAAGTGACAGAATCCGTATTCATCAGAAAGTTTTCGGCACAGCGTGCCCTTTCCTGAACCAGGGGCTCCTGTAGAGCTTAGTCGCGTACTTAGAATTTCGCATACGTACCAATGACGAAGACGACGGTTTTTGCAGTAATTTCCATGGCAGTTTGTAAGGATGTTAGCCGGGAGAAATAGCACTGTCTGACTGCAGGAGTTCACAGCCTCCATTTATGCCACGCAAAAGCGGGGTCATCCACACGTCATCGGTGGACAGTATTTATGTGCATCAATAAATTCTATGGCAGCAAGTGAACATCTCCAGCATTCAACTTGCTTCCTCCAGCTCGGTTCTTTGTTCACACTCCAACAATGGACTCCATCTCCATCTACTTTGGATTGCTGCTGCTTGGTATCACGTTCTTGTACCTGCATTACACCAATCATCGCACCGTATGCCCTGTGGCTGTCAACTATCACTTTACGAGGCGCTGCAACAAAACATGTGGATTCTGTTTCCATACCGCCACCTCCTCTTTCATGGAGAGTTCCGATCGCGCGAAAATCGGCCTTTCTTCGCTTAAGAAAGCAGGCATGCGGAAGCTGAATTTTGCTGGCGGAGAGCCATTTCTCTATCCAAAGTTCCTGGCTGAGATGGTGGTTTTTTGCAAAGATGAATTACGACTCGAGTCGGTCTCTATCGTCACAAATGGAAGTCTGGTGAAGGAGAGCTTCTTTCGACGGTGTGGCTCCAAAGTTGACATCTTGGCGGTCTCGTGCGATTCGTTCAACGAGTCTACCAACATTCAGATCGGCCGTGGATCCGGCGACCAGATCTCGCAGCTATACAAGGTTGCTTCCTGGTGCAAGAAGTATGGCATCAAGTTCAAGATCAACACTGTGGTATGTCGACTCAATTGGAAGGAAGATATGAACAGACATATCGAACAGCTTCGGCCTTTTCGTTGGAAGTGCTTCCAAGTCTTGGTCGTTGCAGGGGAAAACGACTCTGGAAAGACACTCCGAGATGCCCGCAAGTTCATCATCACCGATGAGGAATATGACAGCTTTTGCAGACGACACACGAACCAGACGTCACTCGTGCCAGAGTCTAATCGAATGATGGCCAAGTCGTATCTGATTCTCGACGAGTACTTGAGGTTTCTAGACCGCGACGGACGTCAACCATCTGAATCGATCCTTGACATTGGCGTCAAGAAAGCACTTCGAAGTGTATATTGGGATGAGAAGGCTTTTAGGGACCGTGGAGGAGTATACGACTGGGCCAGACCGACCAGTACGTTTGAGCTAGATGAACAAGAACTAAAATGGTGAAATCATAAGACCCATCAGGGATCGGGAAGATGAAGGTCGTGTGATACTGTGTGCTGTGCAGTGCGTCATACACTTCTAAAAGGGCCAATCAAATTCATAGTCAATGATATGACGTGCTAGGCAGATTGAATGCTATAAAACGGTGGATCTGAGTGAACGACTGAGCCCTACCAGAACACTGATACCACCATGTCTACGAGCCTCGAAACCCTTGGCAACAGAAGCGGGCCTCCAAAACAATCGAATCTCTACTTGATAGGACCTCAGTGTAGTGGAAAGACGACTCTTCTCAACGCATTGAGAGCATTCTACTCTGATCACGACCCAGCATCTCATGGATTCAACCAGCCGTTTATCATCGAAGAGGTTGCCCGATTTATCATGCAAGAGAAGGGTTTTCAGGCAACAGACCTATACGATAGTGTTCGGGGCCTTAAATTACAGATGCACATTCTGCTGAGACAGGACCAAACCGAGGAGCATATGAAGGATCAGTGGTTCTTTGCAGATCGATCAGCGCTAGACACGCTAGTATATGCGAAAGAATATACTGGACTCGACGCCCTCAAAGCACTAGCGAGAACGGGGGAGTGGGCAAAGTCAAGGTTGAGAATGCAACACGCTACAGTGATAGTTTGCGAGGCTGGTAATACAGAGTGGCTAAGTGCAGACAGAGTCAGGTTAGCCTATCATGATACTTCGGAGTGGAAGGCATTGAATGAAGCGTTCTTCATTATGCTCAGGGAGTATGAAATTCCATACAGCGTTCTACCCAATGCTATCAAAGACTTGGGGGAGCGGGTAGCACTGGTAAGACGCCTTTTGGAGATGGATACGAGTAATCTTTGTCTGGCGCCTGTTTCTTTTTGAATGTGTTTGTGTTACAAGATCGAGTATCGCAACCTCTACTAGAGTTATGTCATTATCGTTTCTGGTTGGATTTGTAGATTTGTGTTTTTAAAGTCTGGGTCTATTCGTAATCTATTTCTAGTACTCAGGCGCCAGCGTCGAGTGGGCGGTGCAAGGCCGCTTGGAGTGTTGCCTCGTTTAGCGCCGACTCAATTTGGAGGTCACTGCTCACGCCTATATTAAAATCGCACCATTGTCTCGCAATTGCGAGTACTAAATGAGCTTTGTCACAGCCGACAACGACATCCAATGGTCAGTATGCCTTATCACGACCTTTGGCGTTCTCTATATAGCCGCCATTGCAAAGTGTGGGTGGTGGATCATCAAACGGAGGGTTGAGGAAGTGGCTAGCATCACAGAAGGTTTTACGCACCCTAAACATAGACTTTGTACCAATCCCGGCGCCTGTTGCACCAAACGCATTACCTTTAGGCTACAGTTGCCTTGAGGACGCCCCTTGTTTCTTCCAAGAAGTTGATAAAAATGGCCTTCCCTCAAATGGGATAGTTGTTGATGCCACAAGACATATTCTAGTATAACGAGTTCTCAAGGAGAAGCCCGGGCGATAATCATCAACTTTTGTTCGGCATAGAATGGTCATAATCTGTCAGACTGCAACCGGCAGGCTTTCTATCAACAAGGCCGCTAATATACATCCACGCGCGATTTAGGTAGCTCGCCACCTCTAGTAAGTACCTCGAGTTACGAAAATTCAAGTCGAATATCCATAGACGAGCCTCTGCAAGTGCTTACATATTGTAATTCACGCTACCTGCATATCTAGCAGGTAGATTATAGCATGTTGTTGTTAGGTTTCTCTCTTCACTAGCTCTGCGTGCTAGAACGAAGAGACTATTGTAATACCTATCCGGCCTCTATAGCCACAGCGTTACTATAAGATAAGTTAGTAGTCCTAACTAATATAAGGCGCGATTTAGCCCCCGAATTGCGCTGAAACAGGCTTAGCGTTAGGGTTTCTACTTACATCTAGCTAACCTGTACCCCTTGAATCGCGGATTTTAACCTCTCTAATACATTTTTCTATAGCACTTTACAGTACTTAACTCCTATATAAAATATTCTTGCGTATACTTAATTAGTTAATTCTTAGTGTTTAAGCTTGTTGTAGGTATATTTAGAGTTGTGTAATGTAGCTTAGAGTTAGAGTAGAGTTAGAGCTAATAATAGAGCTACTAATCTAGAACAGCTGTACGCCCGCATTATAGAATACAAAGAGTAGTAATAGTAGCCTATCTGTACGTAGTATAGAATAGAAACTCTCGCTAGAGAACTATAATAATCTTCTTTGCTTTCTAGCTAATTTTAGTGTCTTAGTTTGTAAGTATTACTATAGTAGAGTTATTAATCTTAATAAGCATCTATTTAAACAGCACGCAACGCCTACTAACGTGTAAAAAGAGATTGTCTAACGCTTTACACATTGCGAGAGGATAGACCTAAAGAATATTAAGCTTTCTAAGTAACCTGCTTAGCTAATTAAAGAGCTAAGAACGCTGCTAGATAGATTCTACTACAAGACATGCCTGTTTCTTACTATTAATATTAATATTATGCGCATGCATTTAAAAAAAAATTACTAGCAAGCATAGAAGAGAGAGAAAAGTAAGTTATTTAATTCTGTTAAAGTTTAGACGTTTTTCCGTAGTAGAGGGTTACAGAAATATTTTATAGTTAATTTAGGTGTTAGGGAAAATAGAGAAAGATTAGATTAAGATTAGGTTATCTAACAACAACTTAGCGAATAGCAGAACGTGCGATAACAGCTTAAAAAGAATATGTAAGTAATAGCTAAGGCTGCAAAGACAGACAAGACTAGCTAGTTTAAGAGAACTAGGTAGTTATTGTTTCTGCAGAGCTAGAATCTAGCTTATCTAGGCTATTAAGCCTGCTTGCCTAACTAAAATAAAGCAAAGCTATAGCTAGCTGCTAAGCTAACAGAAGAATTAATTAAAAAGTCTGTTTGTAAGTTAGCAACGCTTCTGCAGAAAATACAACACTAGCTTTGTAGTGCGCAGTAGATAGAAATTAATTGACAGCTGCTAGCGCAACTATAGAACTCTAAGAGTTAGGTAACATATACTAGCTACATAGCCTAACCAATATGAGGCGCGGTTCGGACCCCGACCCGCGCTACAATAGGCTTAGCGTTAGGGTTACGTGTCCCGATTAAGCGATTTGCACCCCCCGAACCGCGAATTCCGACCCCCCCGAACCATTACGCTACAGCGGTTATCAGCACTACATTCGCATACAAAAGTTTCTCGCGCATACTTAACAAGCGTGTCTGCAAAGTTTCTACTTGTTGCAGGTAGATTTACATTGTGGGATCTAGCTTAGGGTTAGGGTTATCTAACAATAGAGCTGCCCGTCTGGAACACTCGCGCGCCCGCATCGCAGAACGCAGAGAGCAGCAACAGCAGCCCGCCCGTACGCAGCAAGCTGCAGGCAGTTTCGCTAGACAACTGTGCTGATATTCTCTGCTTTTTAGCTGATTTTTGTGTGCTAGTCTGCAAGCAGCACTGCAGCGGCGTAGTTAATTTAGACAAACATCTCTTAGAGCGACACGCGACGCCCGCTAATGTGCGAAAGGAGATTCTTCAGCGATTTGCGCGTTGCGAGAGGTTAGATCCGAAGGATGTTAAGCTTCCCGAGCAACCCGCTCAACCGATTAAAGAGCTAGGGACGCCGCTGGATGGGCTCTGTTGCAAGACATGCTCTTTTCTTACAGTAGACAAGAGCGTGTTGCGGAAACACTTGAAAAAAAATCACCAACAAGCATGGAAGGGAGAGAAGAGCGAGCTGTTCGATTCTGTCAAAGTTCAGACGTTTTTCCGTGGTGGGGGGTTGCAGAAATATTTTGTTGTCGATTTGGGCATTGGGGAAAATGGAGAAAAACTCGATCAAGATCAGGTCGTTCAGCAGCAACTCAGCGGATGGCAGACCGTGCGACAGCAGCTTGAAGAAGACATGCAAGTGATGGCCGAGGCTGCAAAGACGGACAAAACTGGCTGGTTTAAGAGAACCGGGTGGTTGTCGTTTCTGCAGGGCCGAAATCTGGCTCATCTAGGCTATCAAGCCCGCTTGCCCGACCGAAACGAAGCAAAGCTGCAGCTGGCTGCTAAGCTAACAGAAGAACTAATTGAAAAATCCGTTCGTGGCTTGGCAACGCTTCCACAGGAAACACGACGCTGGCTTCGTAGTGCGCAGCAGACGGAAATCGATCAACGGCCGCTAGCGCGACTGCAGAACCCCGAGAGTCAGGCAACGTACACTAGCTACATGGTCCGATTTGTCTGCTTCTATCTCCGCATCGTTGCAGACGAAGAGCGTCGAGTAGATGAATATGTAGCACAGCGGGATCAAGCTGTTGGCGTGGACAGTGCAAGCGACGAGGATGCTGGCACAGAGAGCGAGTACGACGACAGCGACATGGAAGGCACTGTCGACAGCAACGACAACGACGGTGTTGTGCTACCGCGGCAACCGCGTCGCGTTGTACAGGCTGACAAGATGAAGGATGCGCGCGAGCTGTTCACGTGGAAGGACAATCAGAAGGCGCTAGCAATCCAGCTATGGCTTACGCTGGGTAACCGCGACGCAGCTGCTCAGACAAACGCGCTGCTTGACTCGCTAGCTTCGTTTATTCTCACAGGCTATGGCAGCGATGAGTTTTCGAGTGGTCTGGTGCAGTATCTGGCTGTGCTGGGCATTGACACGCAGACAAACCGCTTGCGTACAGCAAAGAACTTCTCGTACATGCTTGCTGGCGTGGTCTACTGCGTTCGCGTACTAGCAGCGGAAAAGATTCTGCCCGCAGCCGAGCGCGACGATCAGACGGAAGAAGACCGCGAGCGATTCTTAGAGATGCGCAAGCAGTATCTAGCGGATGGCTCGTATAGTCCGATGAGCATTATGCTTAGTCTTCTTGCGTATGGCAAGCACGCAGCGCTGAACGAGGGCAATGCTGGCAACGCATACTGGTCCCCCGACAAGAAGGTGTTTTATCTGAGTGGCCGGCCGATTGTGATAGAGCGTTTCCGCGCAATGGCGCAGAGCATGGAAGCGGAGGTAGAGGACACGTTTTGGCAGATGTGCTGGGTTGATCGTATAGCTGACCGCTTTACGGTGGATCTGGCGCAGATTCAAGACGACGTTACATTTACGACTCGGGGCAGGTCGTTTGTTACTACCCCGGGTAACCGTCTGTTGGATGGGCTGGCTTGGATGCTTAAAAGGGCGCGGAGCACAGAGAGCGGCATGCGGCTACAGACGTCTAACGGCCGGTGGAGAAGTAAAAAGGTGCGGGAGTATCTACGGGAGGTAGATCGCTTCTTAGCGCTACTGCTAGGCTGTGTGCACATGGAATCGGGACAGCCGGCTCGAGGCTCTGAGATTATCACGATGCGGCACCGCAATGGGCTGCTACAGGACCGCAATGTTTTTGTTGTAGACGGTGCTGTTATGACCGTCGTGCGGTATCACAAGTCACAGTCTCAGTGGGACAAGCCGAAGGTGGTTCCGCGCTTTCTGCCGCCGCGATTAGGGCAGGTGATGGTGTTGTACTTGAGCTACTTGCAGCCGTTTCGAGAGTATCTTGTAGCAACTGTGCTTGGGGGCGGGTTGGACGACTACATCTGGAGCAATGAGCAAGGCGCATGGGGTACAGATCGACTTACGAAGGTGCTGCGGCGTGAGACGGGTAAGCGACTTGGCGTCGAGCTGAGTACGCTAGGCTACCGTCACACGGCTGTCGGAATCGGGCGGGTGAAGGTGGGGGAGTCGTTTGGCAAGGGGTATCAAGACGAGGTTGGCGAGATGGATGAAGCAGAGGTAGACGAGGAGGAGGAGGAGGACTTGATTGAGCTGCAGAACTCGCGAACGACGGTTATGGGAGTAGGCAACTACAGCGTGTCGATTGATATCGTTAAGCATCTAAGCACGCGGTCTATTGATGCGTTCCGGGCGCTTAGTACCGCTTGGCACCGCTTTTTAGGTGTAGACGGACAGGCTAAAGCGCCCGAGGAGCGCCGACTGCAGCGGAAAAGGCCGATGCGAGAGAGTATCTCAGGGCTTCCGATGCTCCCGAAAGCAAAGGCTGTTCATGTAGAAGATGCGCGAGCT